CTTTATTCCTTCACAGTAATCTCACAGTTGTGTCTTCTCATTCTGGCACATTCACGATTTCTCTAAAGCTGTTACAAGTCAGAACTCTCACACATTGCTCTTCCTGCGACGGTGCTGCTGGTGTCAGGCCTCCGTGTTCGGGCACTTCTGGCGTGCGGCGTGGCAGCAACGCTGCTAGCCCGGTGTGGGCAGGAGGGAGTCCGCTTGTGGCTGCAGGGGGGGGCCGTGCATTCTGGTGGAATTGTTACAAATCGTTGGTGAAAACTTAGTGCTCAGGTGTCGTCCTCCTCTTTTTTTGGCTCCCTAAGCACGCTTGTTCAAAGCCGGGTGAGCAGGCCGAGCGCTCTGCCCCTCGGCACCACCCAGCAGCCCAGGGAGATTCCTCCCGGTAGCTGTAAGCACGCGGCAGACCTCAGGGTGTTGGGAACAGGGTTGGACAACAACCACCTCGTACCTGCCTTGCTTAGGGTCTTCTGTAAGACATGGAATCCTCACTTGAACAGGGAGAATGCTGAGAGCCCACTAAAAGTATTTCTGGTGCCTCTTCTGGTTTTAACCTCTACAGTGTCTGCTTTCCGCTCTAGAAATGTTCTCAGAACTGCTTCTGAAGTGTCTCCTCTTTCTGAACAGAGGTACACGCAAAGCAACGGTCGCAGACCTTTTGGTATCTCTGCTCTTATCGTGGGATTTGACTTTGACGGAACCCCCCGGCTGTACCAGACCGATCCCTCTGGCACATACCACGCTTGGAAGGTGAGTTGATTCTGTCTCTTCTGGAGAAGTAATCAAATATTGGGGAGTTAATGTCCCCTTTAAAGAGGGTCTGGTGTAGAAAGGAGATCTCGCTGGCCAGCTGGTGCTGGCTCACAGCTGCAAAAATCCTTAATGGTCAAACTTACTGAGAATGGCAGTCTGCAATTCAGCTTGACTTGGGAAATGTTGCCCTGTTTTCAAAAAAAAAAAAAACCAAAAACAAACCACCAACAAAACCAAAACCCACCACCTGTGCCTGACAGCTGTCTTTTTGTGTGATGTGGGAAGTAACATGTTCAGCCTCCTGAAAAATCTGTGGTGATCGCAGAATGGTTCCAGATTATGTAATTGCACAATTCCTATTTCTTGCTTACTCTGTAAATGAAGTCTTTTCTAAACTTCCATGCATCATATTTTTTCGCTTAATGTTTCCAGGCTAATGCCATTGGCAGAGGAGCCAAATCTGTGCGTGAATTCCTGGAGAAGAACTATACTGATGAAGCCATTGAAACAGATGATCTAACTATTAAACTTGTCATCAAGGCTCTTCTTGAGGTGAGTGTGTTAGATCCCTTGTGTGACTTTTCACTGTATGTCTGGATTAACTTCTTAAATATGAGTACGTGAAAAATCTTGGTGCATGTCGTAGGGAAGTACTACAAAAGAATCTGTAAAAACTGTTCGCTGTAGGCCGGAGTGTGGGATTAAAGTCAAGGTTCAGAGTATTTCAGGTAACAATTTGTGCCGCTTACCCAGAAGAACTTACTAGCAGGTCTCTGGGAAGGAAAACAGTCTGCAGTTCTCTGTGTTAGAACACACGCACCAGAGGTGTGCTAAACCAGATGCAGAGTGTTTTACTTCTGTACTGAAGTTCAAGACACAGAAAATAACCCAAATCAGAGGTGGAAATGAGGTGTTCTTCACCAGCCACCCGGCTGCGTTGGTGCCAGAATGAAGACCCTTATTTTTTGAGAGTTACGCTGCTACTGGAGTCAAAATCTTAAAGCTCTCAAGCAAAAATACTCCCTCACCCATATTTGTTCTCTTCCTCACCAGACCTGGAAGGGGTTTGTTAGAATGAGGAGCATGTCTGTTAATTAATGCCCCCCTTTAACTCTCGTTAAGGTTGTGCAGTCTGGTGGGAAGAACATCGAGCTGGCGGTTATGAGGCGGGAACAGCCGCTGAAGGTGAGGTCCTTGTGTTGCTCTTCTCCCTTTGTAGCTGGTTTCTCTGATATGTTGTTGTTGATCTGCAGTAACTTCCAGCCCTTAATCTCACATTCTGCTCTGGCAGATACTTCTGTTTATTATTAGTGACCAAGGAATGTTGTTGTGTCTGGATAAATACCAGTTCACTTTTTCCCCTGTCAGAACTAGAATTGCTTAAATAAAAGCTTCTAAGTTTGAGTAGTATCTTGAGGGTCACCTGTGCTTCTGCTTTTAGATCTTAAACCCTGAAGAAATTGAGAAGTATGTTGCTGAAATTGAAAAAGAAAAGGAAGAAAATGAGAAGAAAAAACAGAAGAAGACATCATGATCAATGAAATTCAACTGCTTAGCTGCTGCTTTTTAATTCAAGTGATGGGTTATTCTGTATAGAGAACATGTAGGCATTCCACTTACTCATACTGTGCCCCTCTTGAGACCTACAATAAACCTACTGATGTTTTTTTTAAAACTGTTATTTTAAAAAGGCTGTCTGTTCCTTGGATTTTAATTACCTAGGAGTATTTGGTTGGCTACAAAACAGCAGTAGTGACCCATTAAAGGACAAAGACTGTTTGCATTTTTTTTCCCTCAGACACTTCACTTTGTTTAATGATTCTTTCATACACTGTCCCAGTTGTTTAGCTTTTTTTTTGTTTAAGTAGCTGTCTCAAAGGTTGTGTGTTATGGCCTCCAGAGAACATAACTAATATGAAATTATGCTTTTCCTTCCTTAAGTAGCATTGTCATATTTAAATGGCCTTGGGGCAGCCTGTGCCCCCAGGGGTTGCGTTTGCCCGAGGTGGGGGACAGGCTGGGGGCCCAGGGGGGAGTTACAGACCAGTAGCTTCCTCAAGCTAAAAATAACTACACCAAACATTACTTGAAACATCATTAAACCATACAGCTCTACATCTGTTTCTCCTTTTGTGTTTGCCCTCACCTTGTTCCCTCAGGAGCTCTCAGCCTGGGAGTTCCTGGCTGAGCCCCTTCGCTGGTCCCTGTCCCAGCCCTTGGGTGAGCCCCTCCCCTGGGGGAAGGGGTGCAGGGACCTGCCTTAGGCAGCTGGGTGCCACAGGGCTCCTGAGGCAGGCCCTGCTCCCCACCTGCTGCAGACATCAACAGGTACCGTGTAATAAAGTTAGAAATGCATAAATGTGAAGGTGTCAGGTGAGAACTCTACTCAAATGCTTTAAAACCGGCCCAAAGGAGATGCAAGTGGGAATAGGGAATTCTAGTTCAGACTGGTGTTTGCATTGTGGCAGCTCTTCCAGCCAGCTCTGGCCTTTGAGAAGCTCTCTCCAGCTGGTTCAGCTGCTGCGGGGGTCAGTGCTGTGGTACCAGTGCTGCCGTGCCAGGGCAGGGGGTGGCTGTGTCCCCAGGGGCCCGACTCTGACCACTCATCCTGCTGTACTGGGGTGAAGGGGATTTTTCACCAGCCCCTTTAGCCCCTCCTTCCCTGTTGAAAATTGTATTTTTTTCTTCCTTTTGTTCCTGGGGCCTTTTTAAACTTTCAGCACAACCCTTAAGCACAATAAAAGGCTTCAGCTGTCCTGTCTGTCCTCAGGGCTTCTCTTCCCTCCCAGCTTTCAGGGAAAGTGTCACTCCACCAGCTGTGCTGTAACGCTCAGTGATGGATTTTCCCATTTCAGAGAAGCCTCAGTAGTTTGAGGAGCCCCATTATTATAAAAGTTTCCCTGTTTATACCCACCAAGGAGGGTAGAGCTGAAAACAGTCCTCAGAGAGCAGCTCTTCACTCTGCCATTGACAACCCTGCCTGGTTTTCTGGGTACAAAGCAGGGCTGGATGTGGCTCCGCACCCTGAGAGGCAGCTTAGCTCCAGGAGCCCCTGCCCCGCTAACACCTCCACCCCAGGGTCCCCAGCAAGGCTCCTCAGACCTCCCTCGGGCTGCTCCAGGCACCAGACACAAACCTGCAGCAACTCCCACCTGGTCCCAGGCCCCTCACACCACAGCTGAGCTGTTTACAGCTAAAACACTGCAAAGCAAAGTGTGGGCAGAGTATCACCCAGCGATCAAGGCCAGGAAAGCTGCAGTGCTGCTCCTGCTCAGGGAAAGCATTAGACCACAGCAGCCGAGTTGCTGAAATACTCTATTTATCAGTCCTTGGACCAGAATTGTGAAGTTACAAAACCTGTTTGGTTCCCTGCACCAGCCTCCACCATCGTTCCCTCCTGCTGGGAATCTTTCACCCGGACACCGACGGGGCAGGGAGCTGCCCCCCACCCCGCAGGAACAAGCCTTCCCAGGGGAGGTGGGGGCACAGTTAACCAGCCCCGGGTCCCCTCACGCTGCTCCTGCACCAGCAGCCAGGGACAGCGCTCAGCTCGGACACGGCCCTGGAACAGGCACTGCAGCACAGTCAGTAACAGCGATTGTATCTTACGTATTAGAGGTGAGGCTTTGCTGTAGAAACAACTGGAATTGCTGCCTTAAATAAAAAGATGCTATAACACAGAGGTTAATGATGATTTCTCATTTTGTCACAGCCACCTCAGACAAGGCAGTCGACTCTGGCAGCGCAACTCCCTCTTTACACCCTGACTCACCCTGGCTGTTTTGCCAGCTGAGGAATTAGGGGCTCACAGCAGCTGCCAGGTAAGCTGCTCCAGCACACACCCCGTCCCGCTGGTGTGAGCCCAGGCACTGAGGGCACTTGTGGCTCCTGAACCAGCAGCACGGCCACCCAGACCAAACGCCAGTTGAGCCCCAGCAGCCCAGGGACTTGGTAGTCACAGAGGGGAGCGCGCTCAGGGCGGTCTGGGCAACAGGAACACCCATTAGGCTAATTCCTCAACAGGAGAGAGGAACAGAGGGTAACAGTGCCAAGGGGGGGGCACTGCCTGGGTCGGGGGTTTTAAGGCCTTTTCAAATACCGTGTAACAGGCTGTGGGCCTGCCAGAACTCTGCAGCGCCGTTTTCTCTGACTTCAACTGGAGCCCTGCTAGGGCAGGCACCCGACGGGCCGCACGGACTGAGGCTACTGAGCTCTGCACAGAACAAAGGAGGAGGAGGGAAACATTAAACATTTACATGTTTATTATAATTACAATTTACATTACTCCAAAGAGCAGCCCCACTGCTATGTCCTAATTCTTAGCAATAAAGTCCTACAAAAATAAATCCAAGCTTTTACAGTAACCTAGGTCAATGCATAACTAAAAAAATTCTAGCTATGTAAGGGGTTCAGTCATCAAGGTGCTTTTTCAACAAAATTCCCTACCAATGAAAAAAGGGACACATGCCTATAGCAATTTAACCCACTTATTCATGCAAACAAATGTAACCCCCTCCCTCCCAGCCCCTCTCCCCACATACAGATTTTTAAAAACAAAAGAAAAACAACTAAACTATTTACAGTATGGGGGTATAGAGGAAACAAATTAAACATGCCCATCTGTTAAGCTTCATTATATGGACTTCCATCCCTAGTTTAATGAAAACATTCCATAGTGTTCCACCACAGTCTACTAGTGTACAGAGAACTGTTTGCATTTGGTACTACCTATGAGTAAGGTACAAACTGAAGCAGGAGGTCAGAGCTTCAGATCTCCTTCCCAGACAGTCAACTACTGCCAAAAATTCTTTATACTGAGAGCATGAGCAGACACTTGTTGCTCCTGTCCTGCTGAGGACACAGCATGCTGTCCCTTCACCTGCCCTGACCCAGGAAGGAGCTCGAAGACTCTGAGGAACACCCAGCACCCTTCAGCTGAGTGCGAGTCACATCTGTGTGTAAACCTGCAGTACCTCCACACTAGTACCAGCCAGCAAACAGTTGTACAGTCATTTACACTACTACATGACCAACAATCCAGTATTCCCAAGTGACAATATACACAACTTCTCAGCACCAGGAATCCATTCTTCCAGATACCAAGTGCTACTTCACACCTGCTGCCAGGAACAGTGAGACCAGCAGCACCAAAGGATCCATTTGGTTACTCAGAACAAACAAATTATAGCTGGTTTATTTCAAGTGAGCTTTGGTTCCATGTTAAAATAGCATGATTTAATCTTCTTCAGGGTTCAGAAAAGGAGTCTGACTTTAAGCTTAGACTATAGCAGCAGCCTTTGAGTGACCCAGAAAGAAGAACCATGTAAGTCGGTCTGCACTTAAAAAAAACACAAACAAAAAGACACCCTGAAGAAGGTACCCCTGAACACATTCCCTCTTCCAAAGAATATTCCAGCTGACAGTTGCTGGTCCAAAATAAGACCCGAATATAAGCAGTAGTACATGAAGTTCTGTCACTTGAGCTGAGACAGTAAACAATATGAACCATTTTCCCACATTAGTGCAGCAGTTGGTTGTTTTCTTTCTATATACAGTTTCATCCTCTCAGGAGAAATGTTTGAACCTATTCAGAAAAAAAAAAAGTAGAATTAGATTTGTTATTCTGGGGATCTTCTCCCAGGAATAAGAAAAGTAACAAAGTTCACACCCATGTATCAACTGAAGTTCTTAACTAGAGCCTCAGCAAAAACAAGCAGCTCTTGCTTTCTCAGACAGAAGGCTAGCCCAGGAAGTCAACAGAACAATCAACATGTTAAAGAACATCTTAAAATCACCAGCATTTCCTTCTACTGCTTGGAAGGATTGATCAGATACAATAAGGAATAATTCTTGATATATCCATGAGACTGGAGAGCAAAAGAGGTTGCACAGGCAGTTCAGGCAAGGAGTAAGAGACAAGCCTGGCACAGAGACAATATTTATTCTTGCTAAAAAACTTGCCTCTGAAGTTACACTCTGCCAGTACCAGCTCTGTGGGTGGTTTGGTTTCGCCTTGCTGCTCCGCTACCCCTTCCACCTCGAAATCCGCCGCGAAAGCTGCGGCCACGAAGGAACCGTCCAGACACTCCAAACGTCTCTGTATTGAGCTTCCTTTCTTCAGCCCACGTGGTACGTCTAGAACTGAACAAAACTACATTCAGATTTAATACAGACGTTAAATAGCCACCAACTCATTTAGCTAGGAAGCTTCAAGCACCCTATTCTGTAGAACTGCAACAAGAACCAGCTGCAGTGCACACACGCTAACCAACTCCAGTCATCTGCTAAGCATGGATTTGAAAGTGACAGTTGTTGGCTTTTGTAAGCTAATTTCATACCATAAAACTAAAGGCGGGCCTAGAAAAGGGTTGAACACGGTCTTACTAGCATTTCAAGCCCAGTCTTGTTTTCTTGAAAGCTACCAACTCTCGAGTCCACTCTCTCCAGAAACCTGGGAAGCCCTGTCACAACTGAGGTTCTGCAGAGCACTGAGGTAGCTCCACAGCACCAGCGTGTTTCTTCCTTAGCAGAGCCTGCCCGGCCCTGAACACCTCACAGCAAGCACTTGGAAGAAAGCTGTGTTAAAGGGAAGCAGAATTGCCACCATGGGAATTTCACATACTGACACTAAAGGGATGTCTGACTTCACCAGGGAGTTGGTAACATCAGTGTTAGCAACAAAAGATGAAGCTTTAATATTCCCAAAATTTAACTTATTTTCAGACACACCTTACCTCCTCTCTGCCTAAACCCCAGGCTTAGCTTGCTCCCATCTGCAAGCTGCACCATCTTCAGCACAGCATGGCCCTGATGCCTCCTCCCACAAACGAGGTAAGAAATTTGTTTAAAATCAATAGGTTCAAAGTCAGTACTGGGAAACAGAACTGGAAAATCTTGTGTCATAGCTTAAGCGAGTGTATCAGTTGAAATCCTTGCTTTTTGTTTGATCCCACTGCATGAAGCTTGGTTAATGTCACTTGCGAGCCGTCAATGCACGGCAATACTCCCTTCTAAAAACCGTTTTGCTGACTTCCTTGCATTCTCAGATTTTGAAAGCATTAAACCGTGTGATACAGATGTCTAGAATTCTATGCCTAAAACTGTGTTAAAAAAAGCAAGCTTTTAGAAAATACTCACCTAGATTTCAGTTCTGAAGAAATGTTGTCAAAGAATGACTTAGATTTATCATAATAGCAGTTGGGTCCCAGAAGGTCCTCCTCTGCGTTACCGTCATTGTTTTGAGTTGCCACTCCAGGGTCCCCTTTTTCTTCCCCCGTCTCCGCTTTATCATCTGAAGATAATAAAACGTATTACACCTCGTTGATGCATACTGAAGAGCCATCTGTTCTCTTGCTCCCTCAAACAAGATTTGAGATGCTGCCACATGTAATCATGCAGTTTTTCAGAACAAGTTTGTCTATGCAATGTTTACTACTAGTGCAGCAATTCATATTTAATGAAGTCACAAACCTTTAAAATTTAGTTTCTTCTTGAATTCCTTATCAAGTTCCTCTCTGTTGAATTGTGCATTTGCACTTTCAAAGTCAAAGTCACCTTCAAACTTTATTGTATTTTCCTTCACAGTAGTTGGTCTGTTTTGTCCTCTAGAGCGGTTTCTGGTTCTCCTGTTTCCTGAAAGCAGGAGAGTTCAAACACTTGGTAACGCACAAGGAGGTTAAATGACTTGCTCAAGACCAGAGGAAACCAGGGTCAGAACTCAGGAGTCTCACACCTCTTTGAAAGTAACTTCTGAACTTGGCTGTAGAAGACATATTGCAGCAACACTTTAACTTTCTGAAAAGCACTCCTGGATATCCGTCTTACCATTAAGACAGAGTATATCCAACTGTCCTTCCAGTGTGAGGAGAGGAAATCAGAACAAGTGCTGTATCAACAAAAGCTGAGAGAAGTGAGCAAAACTATCTTTCCTGCCTGCTATTTGTCTGCAAGCACGGTACTGTAATTAGTCCACAAGCCCATCACGACAGCAGAGGAACAGGTCATTGGTTTCAGAAAATTCACCCAAGACTCATCTACCCACAAAGAGAGCTTGTACTTTGTACAGTTTCTAGTTTCCAACTGAGATGCTCTCAACTCCTTTTTGGGAAAACTATAACCCCTTCTACAGTGCTGCCCTCAAGTAAATTCATATGAAGACCCAAAAGTCTAAAGTCCTGCCTTTTCTCATTTTGCTTGGGCACAAATATTTGTTTCAATTTAATTTCACTTTGTTTTTGACCCGTGCTTAAACTGCAGTCTTGAGATAAGACTTCTGTCCTGTGGGAGCAAGGGCTTTGTAGTTCCTCTCAGTTATAAAAGCTCTGGAAATTCTTAAACAGGTCACCCTTCACAGTAATAATACTTCAGGTTTCAAAGAAATCTAGATGTTGCTGCCAACTTACAGCATCAATTTTTATAACGTACCTTCAAGTTTCTAGAAGAGACCCTAGAACTCTGGTCTTGGAATGTTCTGAACTTCTGCGACTCCAGAATCTATTGTGTTAGGGAAACATCTCTGGATGCCCAAAGCCTTATCAAGCTTTGTTTTGCTCTCACTCTTCTGTTCAATCATCCTTCACTGTAGTTAATAATATTTCCCTTTATAGGCTAACACGACTGTTTAGTGCCAGGTTAACCTACCCGATCTTCTCCGTTGAGGTCGTCTGTTTTCATCATTCACCTGTCCTTGGGTTTGCACAGGTGCTGCCTGAACTGTATCTACTGAACAAGAAGGATACATTTAATAAAGGAGCATGAGAACAAAACCAAGACAGTTTGGTCTTGCTACGCACCCTTGCAGGATGCTTCAAAACAGCACTTTAAAGATGAAGTGGTGCATACATACCATTTGCCTTACTGGTGCCCTGTGGAACCTGCCGCCCATTGCGCTGGACCCCTGGAGTTACTTTCACTGGGGGTGGCTTTTGTGAATTCATGTTGTCAACTGGGCCAGTCTGAACAGCCTGCTCTACCATGGGGCTTTTGCGGACTGGGTGAACAGAAGGAAAGCCAGAACCTGGAAAAAATCCCAATGACTAAGTGCCTCTCAGAAAACACGCCAACGTTATTCAAACCCTACCCACTTCTATGGAGAAACCGTTTTGTTAAGAATTACTCAAAGCCTTGAGTGTTTATCATTACCCACTATGTTTAAGTGGCATATACACTAGCTAAGGCAATACTGCTACACAAGTCAGCTCTTAAATCCAGAGCCTTAAAGATCAGGAAATCTACCCATTTATTTCTAAAACTGAGTTAGACACACATTAGATAAGCAAGCCAGGTCAGTCTCTTTGATGGTTTATACCAAAAATCTAATTTCTAGGTGTATCCTTGATTATGTAGAATTTTACTTCACACGATACTTTAAATCTGAAGCAAAAATCCACCATTTTGAAACTGTTCAAGAAAGCTTCCCCACTTTGACAAAGAAGTTTTGCAGCAAAAGCTTTACCACTTCAACTACATCCCGTTTTGTAAGCCGCTTTTAGAATTCCTTCAACTTCACTGCTTATTGTTAGCTTTCAGACAAAGAAAACCTGAAACCAGACCAGGATCTCAAAGTTACCCTTTTAAATTCCTTCTTGGTCAAGGCCAAAGTGTTACCAAGACTTCTGTTGCTCTTCCATCCAGGCTTATTTATTCACACTACAAAACATGTAAATACTTTTCATGGTTTGGTATACCTTACACCAATTATATTAAAAAGTGACAGTCTTCAGTACTCAGAAGAAACACTGCATTCTAGATTTAATTAGAAGTTTTGGAGTACTACAGGTTTATGTAGTTATGCGTAAGAACTGCTTGGAAGCAAACTTTAACTGAATATACTTAAAGAGCAAGAAAAGTGAAAAGCTGAAGAGTACACACAAATCAAGACACTGACACTTCTGGGTCACCCAAGTCCACATGAGATATACCCAGCAGGTAACATCATGCAGGTTCCCAGTTAATGTACACCTGGAAAACTTGCAAGGAAGACAGACATATCCTAAGGATTATTCAGTAGGACAAAGCTGCTGTGCAAGTTTAACATAAGAAAGTTTCAAAGCTTAGACAGAGTATTGAGGAAGTACGTACAGATAGATGGCCAAAACCAGAAAGTAAAAACAGCTTCATGCCAACACGAGCATACATGCTTAAATGAAAAACAGATGAAACTAATTACCATGTTTAAATGCAGGCTGCACCTGGTCTCTCTGCTCTGAGGATGGTCAGTCTAGTATCTCTACTCAAACTTCTTTAAAAGCTTTTACACATAGAAGCAAGCATCCAGAACTATGTTATCTCAGCTTACCACAACTCAGAAATTGCTTACTGTTAGTCATGCTTTACTAATTGAGAGTCTTGACAAGGTACTATGCCCCATCATGCATGAAATCTATCCTGATATTTCCTCAATTACAGCAATTCTCCTGCATTTTCGGTTAACCTATGTCTCCAACAGCAAGGCCACCCACAATTTAAGCAGTGTGCTTGTCTTTCCAGGAAAGACCAATTAATTCCTTGCCCAGCCTCTAAGGCGACCCATGCTCCTGGATAGGATGCAGCACATCATCCCTAAACTTCAGCCCTTTCCTGATACTTACACAAGAGGATCCGCTGTCCTGTACCTTTTCTTCCTCCTGTATCTAATTGATACTTCTAGGACAGGAGGAACACTTCATGTAATGAAAGGCAAAAATAGCTGAGAACAAACTAGTTCTACTAGCATTACCCATATAAGTACTATCATTCTAGGAGGGGTTAACAAGAACAGAGTGTTTGCAAGTGCCATGCAGTTCTTCCAAATATTTGGAGTCCTCAAACTGCTGTTACCCTTGGAAGAGAGCTGATGGGGCTCTGAAGACATGTCAGGCTCTGAAACAGGTTGTGGAGACGGAGAAGAACTAGGGCTGGAAGCAGCTGCTGATGCTGGAGGGCTTACCAATTTCTCTGAAGAGATAGAGGGAAGAAGAGAAAGCAAAGATATACGGATAAGATACAAGGTAGTGAAACATCTGAAGGACTTGGAAAGAGATACAAGAATCTCTAGAACAGCATTAGAGCAGCTTATTCACAGTCCTCTCTGGGAATGCAAGTTCTTTTTACATGTGATGTATATGTAAGGTATGTTATGTTAGAAACAAACTGGCCTCAACTGTTAGGTATTTGCATTACTTTCGGAAAGAAACTAGTTATTTAGTTTGTTTCTTTCTTTTGTGTGCGTGCATGCAAGTGAAATGCAGGCCTCCTTGCAATAAGATCGTTGCACAAAGTTGTTAACTACTTATTCACTGCTTGTTGCAGCCTGACACTTGGCAAGGAATTCGGTATTAGTTACTGTTATTTGGTTTCACAGTAGCTGTATACAAAGATAGCACCTTTATTCTAGCAAGTAAAAGTTTTACTTACCTAAACCTAATGAAGCTGCATATTGCTGGCTAAGTAAAGAGCTGGCAGCAAGCTGGCTGTAAGGTGGCATACCTCTAAACGGGCTGTAAGGCACATGTGGCTGAAAGGATGATGTAGAGGCAGAGCCCAGTGAAGACTGTAACAAGACAAATTACATTTCCATTTACAGTGTCCAGAAGTCAACTTGCTTTGGCAGTGATTCTCTACTTCATGTACAGCATTACTGAAGCTTAAGCAAATACTGAGAAGGGTTAGTTTACCTCGTTATAATTTTCCCGCATTCTCAGCTAGGTAAACTAGCTCTGGCTTTTGTTGACTGAAGTCTTTAATGCTGCTGCTATTTTAAACATTACAGTAAAATTCAGGATGCTTCAAACAATCAGAAAGATTCCTGAAGACACTTACTGGCCTTCATTTTTATAAGTTTATACTAAAATCCTGTCCTTCATCACCAATGTTTTATCACAGCTTTCTAGCAACACTTCAGGCTAACTTACTTGAACAATGGCAGGATCTTGTGGCAGAGTATGCTGAGCTTTTGGAGGTTCACAGACAGTGATGTCTTTGATGTCACTTCCTCGAAAAATAATGTATTCATAGATTTCTTCTCTTGGAGGAGCAGGTCTGTCTGTGGGCCGGTCTTCAGTACCGAAGGATCGCACTTTAGCATTAAAAAGATGACTATTAGTCCAGAATTACCATTCCAGCATTGTGTAAGTTAAGATTTATGCAATTAAAAATTACTCTGGTAATACTTGCCAATTGTAAAAAAAAAAAAAACATTACCTCCAAAGCCATGAATCTCTTTATCACACACATCTGTTCCCTCAAATGCCAACTTTTTCAACAGCCTGCATAAACAGTTTTGTTTACATCAAGCTGTGAAGGTAAAGACCACAGACCAGCTGGAGTGAAGAATCCTACTCCAAAACCAAGGACTTCCCCACAGTGCTACACTGGCCTATTCCCCTTCCCTCCCCAGCACCTGTCCCATGCAGGCATTCAGCCTGAGACAACTGCCACTGCATCAGACCACAGGAGAGGCCCCTGAAGCAGCAGGGGGAAAAAAAATCTTAGCAGGCTTTAGAGCTCAAATTTCCACCTTTGGTTTCATATATTTATTACACAAATAGAGGTAAAGTTTTATCAACGACAAGAACTTCCTATTAAAATGCCCTCTCTACTCCTTGCCACTGGTTTTATGATTAATATCCACTGACTACAAAGCAAGCTTTCAGTGAAAAATCTCAAACCTCAGTGTCTACCAAGGCTTTATTAAGTCCCAGGTATCGAAACACTTAAGCAGGTACTAACCAGTGATGTTACACATTAAGAGTAGATAAAAGGCTGCAATTGACTGTATGGCAGCTACCAGGTAGAAGCATAAATTAATCTGAGCTGCTAAAGAGGAAGAGGTCCAACTCAGACTTGCTGGATTCTTAGTGCAGGAAAATAGGTAGCACAGTTACATCAGACACTGACATATGAAAGCTTGAAATTTTGGCCATAAGTTACAGAACCTCATCAGGTTTACTAGTCCAGTTGTTTTCTGTCTTCAAGAGGCTTTGCCAGTTCAGATATGTACCAGCACATACTGGTTTGATGTATGCTTTCTGCCAACAGAAGAATTCTGTATTGGAATTGCATCAGTTGCTTCTAAGAGGTTACCATAGATGTACTCAATCTCTCTGCCAGGACATGCCACGATTCCTGCAGTACCTTTACAAATTACATCCTGAACAGACCTTTCACAAGCACCTGCCATGTCACAGTCTGTGGTGATGTGCCAGCCAGCTGCCACTCCCACTGCACAGCTGAAAAGATATAAGCACAGACAGTCCTGTCACACAGATGATAGGGGACAGGGGGCACCACAGCTTCCCCAGAAAAAGGTCAGGAAAAACTGAATCCAATCAACCCCAGTATACTCTGATGTTACTAACTTACTAGGAAGGTTGAGGGTTGTATGTAGATGGGGTGACTCATCAAAAGTCCTGTTCTCAGAGATGAAAAGTTGTATCCAGTTGGTTGCTCCCATCAAGCAGCAGTTAGTGCTGCAAGTGGTCTTCACCTCTGTTCAACACGTGTGTGAGCTCACAAGGAGCAGTGAGCACCAGGTACAGCAGGTCAATGCCAAACTCTGTCCCTACCATGCTGATGCTGTTTAGCACCTCAGCTTACACTTTACTGGAAGGGAATCTTAACTGGTGCAAGGACAAGCTGCCAGTCACTTCCTCTGAATGACTGTCTTCCATTAGTTCCTAGTGTATATAACCTCTCCAAGTTATTTTAGATCTCCAGCTGCTGTTTGATCATATTACAGCTGTAACCTAGTCAACTAGAAGCAGATTATAGACTGAAAGTAATGCTCATGGCCTTTTAGACATGAACCGTACCACTGATGTCTCTGCTCAAGATTAGATTATTACAGCACATAGCTCATGGCAAGACATACTAAAGCTACCCAGGGACCACTGCAGAATCCCACGCCTAGCTGGGAAAGCACCATGTCTTCTCTGAACACCGGGATCAGCCTGTCAGCTTCCACAGAGAAAAACACATGCCCTGCAAAACCCAAAGCTGTCCAGGCAGCCTCTGTTGGCTGGTCCCAAGGTTTCTAACTAAAAAGGTGGAAGACTACATCCTTGTAGACAAAACAGCAGTGAGGGCATTTACGAGGGCTCTAGGAGTTGAGCATGTCTACCCTTGCATTTGAAGCGCTTAACAGTTTCTGGCACATCACAAAGTACAGCTTTAAATTTCTGTGGGGGTCCGAAGGGCTGTCTCCCATGAAGAGTTACAGTGACTATTGTTTACAGATGAACAGGAAATCAATCCCACACCATGCTGCAGCTAGTGTTTTACAATACAGTTTGTATTCATGTGTAGGGCTCTGTTGAGCTAGACCACTGAAGGGTCAGGAAAATTAACAAGAGTGACTGGACATCTGGAAAGCAGAGCTTACATTGATATTTCTTGCTCAAAAACTCTAGGTTCTTCAGACTCCTACAAAAGGGGGAGTAAATGTCTGGTGTTCACTGCTGACAGGACAGTAACGGTCTTAAATTCCAAACAAGTGAAGTTTAAGTTTAGCATCTAACAAGACAGACAAATTTCTTCCAAGTGCTTGATTAATTTCCTTATCCACTGTTTACGATATTGTGCATGTGTTGAGATTTAACAAGAACTAAATACAAATCAATTGAAGTTAACCTTGCTTCAAGTAAGAGGACAAACCAGATTCCTTCCTGAGGTCTCTTTCAACCTAAGTCTTTCTTTATATCACTTGGATGATAAGGGTCAAGAAAACAGCACTTACATACTGAAGTTGTTTTAGCCTTAAACAGTGGCATCTAGGGCTTAATAGGAATTAATAGTAGCTACCCGGACAACTTCAACTGCATGTCAATATTTAACAGTTGTTCTAACCCTAACATAGATCAAGTGTTTTAAACTACTGTCCCCCCTAAGAACAGGGTTGATATTGCTGTCATCAACTTCAACATAGTTGCTACGTTCATAATTCTGACACTAATTTTGATATAAAGTCTCTAAATTTAAAACCCCTCTGAGCTAAAGTGAAAAGCAGAGTTTGTACTTTAAAGTTTATAGAGCAGCACTTTAAGTGGGGAAAAACAGGTTCTCCCTCTATTGTAACGATACTTCTCAGGCATTCCAGTTTATCAAAACTTAACACTAAGAGACACATAAATACAACTGTCAGAAATCTCATACAGAGCATGTCACACCATAAAGCACTTTGATCACACATACCTCTGAAACACACCACTTAAGCTCTGCAGTAGCAAGTGCTATGTGGAAGCCAAAACTATGTGAGAAACCATTTCTACTTCCTACTGGGTAAAGGTGAAGACCTTCCTGCACACACAGTAAAGGAGTTTGCCTCCCACCTCTCAACTACTTTGAGTGAAACACTAATATGAACAGCCCCATCTGTACATTTAAATAAACAACTACATCCCTAGAAAAAAGGGAATTTGTGAAAATTCACATTTTTAATTTCAGAATACATATCAATACATGTCAAATACTTGTGTCCAGCAACACAAACATCATTATACTGAAAAAATACTGTGGCACAGGCTGCCTTGAAGATAGCTGAGAACCAGGCAAGTCACTGTCTTGTGCCAACAGATATCTTTTGTTTTGAAAGACTGTTTGGTTTGTGGACAATGCTGATGGGTTGCTGGAAGCAGTGAAGGTTCGAGCTTCCCAGAACAGGGAAGGACAAAACCGAGGGAAAGAAAAAAACTGATGCACATTAGCAGGAGTAGCCAAGCTGGACATTAGAAGCAGTACATAAATAAGATCTCGTTTGAGAGACTAAACAAGCCAGAACAGGTCTTACTGAGAGTAAATACAGGAATTGCCAGCACAGGTGACAAATGAATCCAAATGACACCATTTAAGTACAAGATAAAGATCACAATTTCTACAGGCAAACACAATGCAAAGCCTTAATGAGCAGCCTGCAAGATAGGAAGTGCCAGTGCCAGCTGCAGATACCCCACAGCACCCTGTACACTGGCTCTCGCCCTCATCACCTGAGCAGAGTGCAGTTATTGATCACGAAAGGAACAAAGACACATCGACAGCAACTCTTGTTTTCTCCAGCATTGGGCTGGGGCCCTGCTCAAGCCAAGCACCGAGATACAGCCGGGCATCCATACACAGGCAGGAAAGGGGAACCAAACCATGAACAACGATGCAGACCATCACCTTTCTGGTTCCGACAATAGGAAGAGGAGGCAGCACTGCCGGCGGCTCTTCTTCCTCTTGAGGGGACTGGTGACTTGCCGTGAAAAGCAAGGGCTCCTCAGCATCCCGGGCCCTGCCCACTCCCTCGGCTCCCTGCTCCCCTCCGGGGAGGCCCAGCAAGCCCCCGCCACAACCCGTGCTCGCCCCCCTCGTCGAGAAGCGGCCTTCCAAATGCTGACTCACGGAAAGGGAGCAGCGCCGAAGGCACGGGGCTCCAACCCCACCGCCCCCCCCGGCTCCTCGCACTCCGCCCCGGCCGGGGCCCCGCCGCAGCCCCTCAGGGCGGGCTCCGGCCGCCGTTCGCCGAGGCCGGGTTCATTGTTCAGGGGAGGAAGGCGGCGGGCGAGGCGGGCGGGCCCCCCGCGCCCCCTCAGCGAGCACCGGGCCGCCAGAGCCAGCCCCCCACCCCCCCCTTCCCGGGAGGGCCCCGCCTCACCTTTGGCCAGCGCCACGGTGGAGTTCTCGGTGTCGATGGTGTAGAGGATGCCCTCATAGCGGATCTGCGCCTTGGAGATCAGGCTGATCTTGCTGCCGATGTAAGGGGTCCCCGAACTCATGGCGGCGGAGGCCGGGCCGCACTAAGGGGAAGGAGGCCGCGCAGGTCCCCGCACCGCTGCGCGGAACCGCCGCGCCCGCCCACGCACACTGCGGAGCCGGGAGCCCCGCCGCGCCCGCCTTATATAGGGCGGAGGGAGACGGTGCTCGGTGGGATGGGGGGGGAGTGTGCGGCCAGCCCGCCGCGCATGCGCGGCCGCCGCCGCTATTGACCAGACGGGAGACGGGGTCAGGCGCGGAGGGAGGGGAGGGAAAGCCCGGGGCCCGTGTCACGTGGTCGGCGCCGGGCGGCGGTGCCACGTGCGCTGTGGGCGGGGCCTGGGGCTCGCGCGCTTCCCGCGCTGCTGCGGCTGAGGGAAGGGAGGGGGGGGGGGTAACGGCGGGGTCGGTCTGTGTCGCTGCCCGCTCACCCCTGCGGCAGAGTTTGAGGGTTTTTTTGTTTGTTTGTTTGTTTTTTGTCACATAACGTAGGGTGGGGGGAGTCGTCTTCCCCTCCCACACCCGCCTACCGCTGAGCCGGGCTCTGAGGGGGAGCTTTTCCCGCCCTTAGAGCCGCCCTCACCTCACCCCGCTCCCCGCCAGGCCCCCGGGGGTCTTGCAGCAGCGGCTGCTCCCTCAAGGCGCTCAGACGAGAGCGGGAATGGCTCCCTTTTCCTCCCCTCATCCCTCCCTCCGGTGCTGTTGTTGAAGAGGCCGGTTTTGTGCTGGAAGAGCCCTCGGTGCGTGCCGGGGACCTGCCCGGTGCCTTTGTTCAGCCGGCGAGACGGGCTGTACCCGGCGCGCCGATGGCGGCAAGTCACATCGTGGCAGAGGGACCACAATGCTCGGCCGCAGCTGGAGAATGAATCTTTCAGTGCAGCGTCTCCCGGGATTTCTCCGTCTCCCCCAGCCATCTGCGGGTCAATGAGAGACAACCGGTAGCATCTGGCAGACACAGTCGCGGGAGGTGAAGTCGCTAACCAACGTGAGGGTGGATGGGGACCGGGCAGGGCAGTTACATTTGGAGCAGCAGGTCAGAGTGCACGAATCTCACTAATTCGTGTGACGCAAATGAATAAGATTCAAACCCAGCAGCTGGAGACAATACAGCGGGAGCCATTGTCTATGTGTAAAGAGGTTTGCTGGAGCTGCATGTGCCCATGCCTTGGTTACACGTCTTCCATCAGTGATACCACAGCGACGCAGTAGCATGCAGTCCACAGGTTTATCCTCGTGCCATGACGACCTGCTTCCTTGCCCACCGCGGCTGAGAGCCGTTCTCCAAATGCCCCAAACCGTCTGCCCTGTGACCTTACGTATTTTATGGCGCTACTCTTCACGCTGTTTATACAGCCCGGAGAGCAGCTTTCCCTGTCTGAACAAGGAGGATGCCTTCCTTCTTGCTCTTACTGACACACATGTGCAGTCTTTCTCTTGTTTTCTTCATTCTAGCGTGGAGAGACTTGCTAAAAAAAAAAAATGATTTCCTATATACTAATTGAGCAAACAGTATTTTTGAATAAAAAACCCCTTAAAGTCAATCTTTTTAGATTTTTAGCTCAGCCTTAAGTATAATCTATAAAGAGCATGAAAAGATTCCTTTTTTACTGCAGTAAATAATGCCCTTTAGCAGGCAAATTACTGGTTAGAAACTTCCCTGATGAAAAAACTCATCTAGCTCTCCTGTATGATGAGTGACTAGTTTAAGAATGCAGAAAAGTTTAAATGGAGAAGAAAGAGGGTGAGAAATAATAGTGAAGTGCTCACTTTGGGGCAGTCACAAATAATTATTTTGAATGGGAAAAATTATGTCAGTATAGGCAATGCAACCAAAGGTAGAGGAGCAGTTTTTTAGCTTATGTTCTCCAACTCCACAATATATTTAATTTGATGTTCCTTATTTCCACTCTTAAAATATTTTTTAGAAATGGTAAGTGGGCCTCTGGGGTTTTCAATTCAACTTGTTTTTTTCTTTATGCACACCAAAATGTCACTGATTCATTAGCACCTTTAGTTCCAGTATTTTGTTTGGTTTTTAGCAAAAGGTATTATGATTGTTTTATCCTTTCACTTTTTTTTTAAATACCAGGAAAGAGGAAGGGACAATCACATGTACCAATACAGCAATGTGGATGGTGCAGGAAGACTAATTAAAGCAATGTGGAAAAAGAAAAATATGCCAAAGTGGCATGAACTATACACTGGTAAGGAGAGATATGCAAACATACAGAATTTTAGTTACAACCATCATGGCCATAAATCGACCTGCCTCTGGAAGATATTCTTAATGTAATGAATTTCTTTACTATCTTTTGTTTGACAACAGTCAGAGATAACAACTGATCATCAAGAAGAAATATGACACCTGGCATTTTAAATGCCCTGTTAGTGTTATTTATTCTGCTAAAAAATACAGTTGTTCATCCATTAAGTGTTGAAAGGGGGAATGAAAGAGCATCTTTCACTGTGAAAATTCATGACAAGTGTGCAATCCTGGGCATCCCTCATATGAAGAGGGAATATTTGGCTTCATATGAAGAAGGTAACTGCAGTTCATCATGGTTCTAGAAAAGCAGTAGAGTTGCACCTCATGATAGCAGCAGATACAGCTTTCACAGAACAGCATTTTGGGTCTTTGGAGACCGGAGGTAGGGTACAGTCAGAGTATGTAGCTACATAGCTAGTTCATCCACAGGAAAACCTATGTTGGCAGAACTAAGGAGACTCCCATGGCAGTTGGAATGCAAGTGGTGGCTTTTGGGATGGTCACCACCAATACACCTAATAACATTTCATAGCAGTTCAGAGAAACCTATGACTTAAAGCAATGATGAAAATTTGTGGGGTGTGTGACAGTGAGAGAGCACTTCTGTGGCAGCTATGGCCATGGCAGTGTGAGTTGAACTGACATCTGGCAGAGTTAACTACAGAGGGCAGCTGTTGGAAAGACATCTGTAACAAGCTCCAACTGCCAGAAGTGAGCCAGGCACTGGCTGCTGAAGCATTACCTCTTGTGCTTGGGGACAGTGTGATATGTTTGCAGTTGGTGCCAAAGAAGAGGAAAGAGACTAGCATGGAAAATGGAGGAGGTGAAAGTGAAACAGAGCTTTGAATTTGGGTGTGGCAAATGATACAAAGGAAGGGAGAAACATGTGAGCCCTAGAGGAAAAAAAATTAGAAACATACCAGTAGTTTCAAAGAAAAAAGTGGTAGCTGTAGGGAAGAAGGGTAAGGTCACCGAGTACAGAACACGATTCTGTAGTGGTGAGGGGAATGGGTAGTAGAAAAGAGCCCAGGAATGAAGGAGGAAGTAGAAAAAGATGGAGAAATTGAAAAGATGCAGTAAAGATGAGAAGGAAAAAAAAATGATCCATCTATGTAAGTGTTTTTATTCTAAATAAAGCAGAGAAAGTAGAATAAAGAAAAAAACATGTGAAGTCAACAGAAGGAAACTATACTAAAGGGAAGGAAAAGGGAAGGAGAATGGAATAAGGAAATTAAAAAATAGAAACATGAATAAGTAGAAAAAAATTGAAAACTTGGTAACTTTTATTTACATAATGTGTGCTTCATACAATTAGTTTCTCCATTTCTGAGAGTCTAAGAAAAAAGGATACAATGATGTATGTAGGAAATAGTGCTTCATATATTAGTTTGTCTTGCATCTCAGAAAAATGGGTATCTCTTCTGAAAAAATTCCATCAAAACAATAGATGTTGTTTTCTTTTTTATTCCAGAAATAAATACAGAGATTGTAGTACATGTTATACTGTTCTGTCCTCTCTCTCCCCTTTCTCTCTTTTTCTCAGTTTTGAGTCAGTGCCTCAGACATTTACATTTTGACATCTTTCATTCCACCCCCATATATCAAATTTTAAGTCAGCTTAACTCCTGGATTTAAATAAAATAGTTTATAAAATGTCATAGTTTTAGGCTTGTGTGGGATTGGCTCTCCTAATTAGTACCTCAACTGTGTACTTAGTGGAACTGGCATAAATCTGCATTATTCCATTGCATTTCTCAGCAGTTAAGACAAAATATATTTTACCAATAAGGATGCGATGGCAAAGAGCTTAAACTTCTTCTCCAGGCTCAGAACAAAGTTTGTGAGTGTCAAAGCAACACCACCATTTGGGCATTGCTGTTTCTTTCCGTGCTCTAACTGTATGAAGTACAAATAGGAGGAAATGTTCACACGGGTGGCTGAAAGCAAACTTACTATTTTGTACAGATACACAGTCTTTATAAGGTATGATGTCAGTATCTGAGATTAAGCTTTAGCTCTAGCAATTAAAAAAGTAGCATTTTGAATTACCTTCTAAATTTAATGGGCTCTTAATATATTCTTTTTAACCAGCTTTACTATAAATACACTCATATTAAAGTAGTAGATCTTTATTTTCTTGTTCCATGCATGCACGGAACCACTTTTCATCCTGTAGTAAGTTTACTCTTTTCCCTGCTAAATCAATCATTTTCTACAGGGAAAGACAGTTCTTTGCTGTAACACAAAATGATAATTTCTTTTTGTATTTTTGAAAATCCAGCAGTAAAATTACAAAAAATATGCTGGAGAATTTTTCTGTTTGTGTAGCACTTCCATGTGGAAGATTCAAATCACCATGTTGGGGGATTCAAATTACCAGTCTGACTTCTAAACTTTTCAGTTTTTTTTTAAGATAGGTTCCGTATAGCCACTTAAATTTATGGGATAAGCTAACAGTGCTGTTCTGACCTGCTCAGTCTTTGCTGTTTGTACCTCATGAATCTACAGGGCCTACTTGGAAAATTGAGTTTGCTTACCTAAACCTATAGAGGTTAGAAATCATTGGGATACTCTTGATGCAATAGAATAAGGAGGGAATATACATTTACTTATTTTTATGAAACTGAACTATTTTGGACATGCATAACATTGTTCATTAGAATGAACACAAACTGCTATTCCAGACTTTTCACACATCACTACACTACAGTGTCTATTTCACATGCTGTGAAAATGAGACCAGTAGTAGATACAAGACCAAGAACACAACCCCAAATCCTGTTTGCTGTTGTGATTCATTTAATTGTTGAAGCATGGGGGGATGGAGAAGTTAGAGAAGTGCAAATACCTTTTATACTGAGGCTTTCTGAATCACAAATGACAAGATTAAGTTATCCTGGCTAACTAGGTGGTGATTTAATTACAGATTTGGAAACTGGACATAAGAGATCCTTTTATGAAGACAGATAAATGGATAATGTATGTGATACCAAAAAAAGTTGATGAAGTTTAGAGTTTGGTCACAAAAACTGAAAGATGAAGTCTTCAAGCCAGACCTAGATTCTAAAAAAGGTGTTTAGGCATCTGTCTCCCATTCAAATGAGTAAGAGGATTCAGACCTAAGTTTAGAAATAATTAGGGCGTAAAGAGAGATAGTTGTCTATCTAGGACAGTGGGGAGCACTGAACATAGCCTAAAATACAGTTCCATTAGGAAGAAACTCTGACTGGTTTGTTTTTTGTTTTTTTTTTTTTTTTTTTGGTTTTTTTTTTTTTTTTTGTGCTGCTAGGCTGCTTTTTCTTAGGTAGTGTTGTGCTGAAGTGAACTGCAAGCCTCTGTGTATCTTTCTCAGATGTACTGATACGAGGGATGGGATGAAGGTGGGATTTCATGAATTTTTTTCAGGCATGAAGTGAGCAAAAGGTGAAGAGCATGCTGAAAGGCAAACAGGAAATAATAAATGGGAGAAAGGAGGCAAAAAATTGTCCTTGAGGGATTAAATGCTGCAGAGGATTAGTCTGTAAATAAAGATTTTGTAAAGTTTCAGGTATATGCATTAAGTGGGATAATAAGAATCTGTGTATTTAGCTTCATGTCCAACTTTCCAAGAGGTTCAAGAGCTTCAGTGGTAACCAATGATCTAAATCCACTTCTAGGCTGAAAAGAGACCAAGTTACAACTAGACTGTCACAACTGACCCACTTGGTACACTTGACAGTAGTGTCAGTAGAGACTAAGGAGCAGATGGCAGTACAGCCTGATATACCGCTCTGTGGACAGTCTTTTCAGAACAAAACCATATGTTTTAGAGCGTACGAGTTGTATTCACTGCATATTTCAGACCCCTGGATGTTGCAGACTAGCAAATTTCACCATTCCGTGTATAGAAATCTATCTTTACTAATTGAGTTTGGCTAAAATTCCAGAAGGCTCGATAGCAGTGTTTCATTAAGAGCTCCTCCTTCTCCCTCTGTACTTCTTTCTCCCTCTACAAATTATTGAACACATTCTGGCTATCAGTATTGAGCACTATTTCATTGGCACTGAGGCTTCAATGGGGTTGAACCAAGACCCTGCCGCCCAGTTCTTGCTGGTGGAAATCAACTCATAGGACAACATACATCACTGGGCTGAGAACATGAAGGAAAGAGCTCCTTTCTTAGATGTTTTAGTTCAGAGGCCTCATTTGCATTAATTCTCTATAGTGGACTCTGTTCTTGAGCCCAAGAAATGAATCTCCCTCTCCTTACCTGTTGTACAAATGACTAGTAGATTCTGCTTCTTTCTGTTCAGGCAGGTAACATATCATTTTACTTAGATTCGGCAGTATGCTGTTCTTTCCCTGCATAACATCTGCTGCAGTTTTCGTAGCTTGAATTGTTCTTGGACATGTTTTAAAAGGCATGTTTCAGAAATGTCTTTGAGGATGTGAATTATTAGTCATTGTTTTATCTGCTAGGGTGTTCTTCCTTTATGTTTGTTATTTTAATTTTTAAAATAAAATTAAATAGGCTTTGGAGTTTAAAGTTTATAGGTTTTAATTCATGTTTAGGTCAAAGCTACCAAGAATAGTAGGGTTATAGGATTTTAGTGCAGTTTCGGAAAGTAATTTATTTTTGTATGACAATAAACTGGCATTTAATCTCCTTCACATTTTAGAAGCTAAACTGTAAATCAGTCTTCACATAAGACAGCAGTGTCTCTCTGGCTAGTCAGTTCTAACTCGTGCTTGTTACTATTGTAATATTTGTGTATACACTTCCCACATATATCTGGAACTTCTGACATTTGCTGTTCCAAAGCCTTTGCGTTATTTATACTTCATACCCCATTTCTCTATTACTTGATGTACGACAAGGATTGTATTAGTTAGTGCAATTTTAGACCACATTTTTGTTCTGTAAAGTAACCTTAATAATATTTGAGATTTGGCATTTCAATTTTCTCACTTAATTCATATTAACATGCTTAATTTTTTTTCCAGAGACCCTCACACTTTCATCTTGGACTCTGAATTTTACTCAGCAGCATCAACATTTACTCTGCCCATGACATCACCTGTGACAAACTTCTAAAGGCTATCTGGGACATACAGTTGTTAGTAAGACATTTTGGAGGCAAAAGGTTTGTGCAAGTATAATGTACACTGGCCTGAAGAATCTTAATTGTTGATGAAGTAGAAGTAGCCCCAAGTAAGAGTTGAGGATGAGGGTGTTAGTTAGGAAAAACCCATATCTTCTTTCATTTGAAACTGAAAGAAATCTGATATTTGCATCTACAAGAGAATGAGCTGGAAGCTCAAAGTGACATACAGAATAACTTTTCAAATAACTATCTGAACTGTAATAGGATAATAATGCACTCTGGTCTTTACAGGGCAAGAGTTAGTGATTCAGTCTCTGTGTGATGTAGGTGCTCACTACTCCACCGAGATATAAACGAATATGGTGTGGCTCCTGTAGGAGAGATGATCCTTCTGAATTAAAAAGTTTGAAATTAGAACACCTAGAAGCAGTCAAACTTCAAGAGAAAGTTTAAGGGATCTGTTTTCTATGAATCTCTTTTAATGACAGCAAAGCTTTAGGAAGGGGGCAGCTTGGCCCTGCACAGACTTCTTTTTTTTTTCTTTGAGTCAGTGGAAATGCTGGTAATAGTAGAGCAGCAAGAGCTAGCATGTTGTATGATCATACCAACACATGTACCAGTATGCAACTTCACATAGCTTTTAAAGTCGCAGTGACGTTACGTTTGATGGCTTCTTGCTGGGGATGAGGGTGTAGGAGGGATGTCTTCAGGCTGCCAAGTTGTACAGTTCTACTTAAATGGCTTCATGTCAAGGAATAGTAATGAACGAGTAAACTTACTGGCCCACCAAACTGTACAGAGCAGCAAAAGTAGCCCCTCCTTTTGCTGTGCTGAAAGTAACTATGAGAAACTAGCTTTATGGTTTTATAAAAACAATTTTACTTTCTTACACAAGAATATACAAATTGTCTATTGCTCCCCTAAATAATTATCTTTCCTAAACAAGATGTTATATTTGTTGCCTGCCATTTTGTCTCATTGTTAATAAATGGTTAGTTTACACAGATGGATGGGTTTACTGCCCTAGCTAGAAAATTAAGTAATAGTGATGGCAATGTTGTTACACTTATGTGGTAATGGAAGAGTATTGCAAGTAACCTCATACAGACAAAACTGACAATAAGGAACAATTTAACATAAAAGCTTTGGTCTGCTATCTGGGTGTGTCATTTCCTTTGGGTTGAAAGTTTTCCCCATCTTGTATTTTGAGAGATAAAATATTTGTCTGACTTGCTTAAAAACGTACTGTTTTCTTCTATCAAAGGTGGGAACACATCCCATATTTAATCAAGTTGTTGGATTTGTTTGGAGTTTCAAAAATGAGTAAAAGCTTATGCAAGGAATAGGGGCAAGTAAGTCCTTGAACTCTTGTCTCTGCTAGTGAGAATGTGTTTTAGGTAGTGTAAGGAAGTAACTTATTGTCTGGAATCATATCCCAAACTATTTTTGACTGCTGGGGAATTCAGAAAAAAAAACCCTTGTATAATAGGCTTTCGTGCTATGTTTTCATTAAGACTGAGGCAGCTCAATAAAGAAGATACAGCATGATTTACTTTAATCAGTTATTACAAAGAAGTCATTAAGAAGAAAAAAAACCCCAACTTGGCAAAATCTTGCGTACATTCTTTTTACATTCCAAATCCACAAAATGTTTAGATACAATCTCATTTCATTACAATCAAAACAAACCTCCTTTACTAGATTTCCTTAATTTTTTTCTTTAAATAATGATGTTTCCATACCTCTTCTGTCTACATTGGCTTTCCAGTTTAGTGTCTTTTGTGTCTGTTTTCTTTATAATGTCACTAAGATTAGTCAGGTTGCTCTGAGGAATTCTGTTGTCCCATAAGGCTTGGTAAGAGCATTTGGCAGGCTATGAACTAGAGATGGAGTAGTGAAGATGATTTAGCCATTTTTGTCATCTGAAGATGACTTTCATAAATGCCTGCAGATGTGATTATTCTTCCAGTTCGAATCTACAAGAATCTGGATTTTGACCTGCATATTGTACATACACTGAAAGTTTTACCAACTTTTTAGCCTGTTAGTTTCATTTGACATTTATTACTTTTGAGCTAAAAAGTGTATATTCAGGCACACACACAATCCTCTTTTTAAATAACTCTGTTTTAAAGGAGGGATGCTATGGGGCTATTGAATGATTTAGACAGGGGCATAGGGACAAAGAATGTGTCTAGCTCTGTTGTTGTAATTTACAGTCTGTAGGTATTGTGATAAAACAAATGCCTGTCAAATTCCATAGAACAAACATTTTCATCTACAGCAACTGCTGTTTCATGACTGACATGGCATTAATTGTACCTGTTCTTGGCACTGACCAAGGATAAACAAGATCGAGATTTCTGTTATTTCATTTATTTTTATTTATGTACTTTTGAAGGTGACTGAGTGAAGGGAGAGCATATAAAGAAAGAGAATAGCACCAATTGCCATAACTGGTCAATTGTTAAACAAGTGTCCAGTAAAGACTCTTTTTGATGGGACAAACAGGCAATGATCTAAGAATGCTGTATCATGGTATTGACTGGAAAAAATCAAGAAGTCTTCAGTTCTTTAAGGAGTTTTAAGACTGCACACTGCTCTGCTCTTGATGCACAGAATGGAGGGTGTAATAGCATCACACCATCTAGATTCCCATCTCCTCTGGCTCTTGGCTTCATCTGATATACAGAAGGTTATTAGAGAGATGAGGAAGCAGTGCACTGCAGCACATACAGCATAAGCAGTGACAAGAGAACAGTTAGTATATTGACATAGGCAGGGAAATTTTCTGTGGCTTTTACATCTCAAGTCATCCTAACTATACCTCTTCAGAGTGACTTGAGTGACTATTATTGTATGTCATGTATGAAGCTGGACAGAGCTGTAAGCAGACCAGGAGCTACCTTCTGACCGTAGCAGGCTACCAAGCTTGTGTCTGGAGGCAACAGACCGATTTGTCCATTGTTTTTTGAATTGCTGGGAGGTGAATTGGAATCTAGAAGAGGAGTAGAGGATGAAGAGGACCAGTGATCTGCACTACCCAAAAAGTAAACAGTGAGGAGTGAGGGAGAGAATGTTAGATATTGAATGATGCTGGAAAGCCCAGGGAAGAGCTAGAACAGTTCTGAATCAAGAGGGCGCAAAAGAGTCCAGAACTGGAATATCCATTGTATTAGTATACTGCTTGGGTTCTCTGGGGGTATATTGTTGCTAAAATATCCCTGGCAGGGCAATACTTTGCTCACGAAGAATCCTAGAACAATTGAAGCAGATACTGCCCAAATCACCTCTCACTAAAAAGAAACACTTCAAACATATTCTAACAAATCCTGACTGTAAAATGTGCAAATTGGATTTCCAGTAATGAGACACATCAGTAGGCACATTTCCTTGACATATTCTGTCAGAGTATCACTTGGAAATAGTGATTTAATTTCCAAAAGTTACTTTAATTTGCTTAGGGATGAAAGCATTTTCATTTTGCCCAGTCAGTTCTAATAATTTGCTAAATTCAAAATATGTGAAATTATTGAAGCTAGTTGTAGTGACCAGAAGGGCCACTAATCTTTTAATAATATTTTTTTTCCCATGAATCATGTAGACTTGCACAATAAACTTTTCAGAGCAGATAAAATGCATGTCTTTGTTGACATGCCTGCATCTTTTCTCTTCCACGGGCATAATTCTGGATATTTGCTAGTAATCGCCATTCAGAAGATTTGCTTTAAAAAATATCTGCTAGCTGCTGGGGTGTGTAGTTGGTAACTTCCATCTTCTACACAAGTGCTCCTTTTTCTTAGTAAAGTTCTCTAGCCCTTCCCTTACAGATGAGTCTGGATACTGATACTTCCCATCTTGCCAAGCAGTAACAAGCATAACGAGTTAGAGTAAGAGCAGTTGGGAAAGAAAAACAGTATTCCACAGCTCTTTTATGATGTAAAGCCTTGAAGACCTTTAAAGAATAATCCTTTATCCCACAGTATGTTATCTGGGCATCTTCTTTTGGGCACAGGATGTTGAGTTACATGGACTTTGGTATCTTAAATAACTCCTATGTGAATTGCATGTAGCATGTATTAGTGACAGAATCTTCTACCTGTCTCATAAAAACTAGAGATTACCAAGACAGTTGTGCACTCAGCTAACTTTTCTTTTTGAAAATCAAGCTCATAAGTAGTCTCTCCCTAACACATCTTTTCTATGTATTTCCCAATTAATAACTAGGTATTGTTATATATCTTGTTTCTAAAAAGTGTCAAGCTGTCACATAATATATTTATTTAATCATATCTCACTGTAATTAAATATATTTTATGAAGAATTGTTTGGTTTTCTGCACCACTTCTGGAGTTTCAATAACTGTTCTGCAGATATAAATGCTTAAGTGGGTGGTTTTGCCACACCTCTTCCATAGCAGCATTGTGCTAGGTGTTCTGTCTGGAACACTGAATTGTAGTCAAAGGGCTGGTGTGTCTGTAGCTGCCAGAAATGGTCTAGTACACAGCAGGACAGACACTTTCCTTAAGTGGAAATAGGAGTGTAGGTAGGTGTGATTATCATAAAATAAAAAGGGACTGTACAGTTGCCTTCCAAATCTACTGTTCATCTATTTTTATTTTACAATGCAAGGATTAAGACACTTTCCTGGAGGATATCATACTTAATTTTGAATATTAATCCCCAAATCTTTGGAGCATTATAATTCTTCAGAGATTCACCTAAGGACAGCTTAAGTACACGGGATGATTTTAAGACCGAAACTTTAATGGTGTCTTCAGATTCCAAAGAGAAAACAGTGAAGTGCCTAGACTGCAAAGAGGCACTAAAGTTGTTTTATTTTTATCTCCGTGTGCATGTCTGTAGTAAGACTGCGTTTGCCCCAAAATTCAAAGTAAATTACTTAAAACAGGAATATTTTTCCTACAGATTGTCAAACATTTGCATTCCAGATGCATATGAAGTCTCGCTGAACACTTGTTAGTGCAGACTGACATCCATTTGCAGAAGAATCAGCACACAGACTTTCAAGTTTACAAACTGGGAGCTTCCGCATAGGACTGCATCATCTTCATCCAGGGCTCCATTCTTCTGTGTCCACCTGCCACTGTGTATTTCTCAAATTGTCCACTGAGCTCTTGTGCTCCTCAAAAAAAAATGGAAATGGGGTACAAGGCAGAAAGGTGATGTGGGATGCTGGCTAAAAGGACAGTGAAGCTTTTTGAATAAGCCCACAGTTCATGTGGATTCTGTCATCTTGTTTGACTGAACTTGTGGAATCAAGTATTACTGGTTAAAACCCAACTTTTCAGCATTTTAAGTGATCAGTGACTGAGTAAGGAGCAGAGAAAGGGGCAGGAGAGTAAAAAAATCACCAGTCAAAACATAAGTAGTCAAAACTACCACTATCAGTTCTTCATCTATTTATTGATGGGACTTTAATATTCTAAGTGGTCAGTTAAGACTCACGGGAGCAGTGTACAGACAACCAAAAGCAACTCTCCTCACAAACCATCTGTAGGCTTCTCTGATATGTCCCTTATCACTATAATCCATACTGCTGCCACCTCTGTCAGATGTTGCTGTAATGAATTCTAGGCTAACTACATTTTTAGAAAACAAACAGAAAGAGAATTGTATTACCACTTGTATCTTGAGACACAGTCTCTGTGCCATGATCTACATAGGCTAGTTCTAAGGGGAATAAAAATAAGTATTTTAAGTAATAATATACTAAAAGGAGATTAAAGGAACTGTCAGACCTCCATTTTTCCCGTATAGCTCCTGCTAGCTTCTAGGCTTCAACGCTAGAGAGAATCCATACGTGCTTGTAATGTTCAAGATCTTTTGATGTAATTGCTGATGGGTGAAATACTTAACATTCACTCTATATTAAGTCTGACTATTTCTACACCAACACCAATAATTACCAGTAATCCATTATGAGATTCTTAAGCAAGTTGCTCTTTTATACCATTGAAGGTGAGCAGTACAGGACAGAGGAGCTGGAATCCCAGTCCTGGAGAATCCAGTCTGGAAAGTTACTTCCAATGTCAAACAAGAGGCAGAGAGTATGAAAAGATAAATTATTCAGTCATGAATCCTACACACTTATAATGCACACGTTGTAATGAATCTCCATTGCTCTTGTAATTTTGTAAAGTTGTTTACCTAATATGGTAGATATGCCATATGGTACACTAA